AGATTCCTGCCTTTATTACAGGTCGTGTATATGCAACAGCTAAAGTCTGTCTACAATAGGGCTGTCACGATTATGAAATTTGGCTGACGATTAATTGTCTAAAAAATAGTCACGGTTATTGCGATTAATTGTCTGTTTTAGGGCTTTGGCGATTACTACTTAAAGCGAAACTACTTTGTTTGGTCTTCCAAAAGAGGACAATATCGCTTCGTCATTCCTGGAGCTGATCCGTGCTGGTCGCTGAGAAAATACTTCAACTTCGCACTGTGGATCACCGGTTCGGCTTTCACTGTGGACGAAGCATAACATTTCCGTCACACGCTTTAGGAATTTGGCCAATCACAACGCACTGGATAGCTGGCCAATCAGAGCGCACCTTGCTTTTTCAGACCGATGTGCTTTGTAAAAATCGACGTGTTTCAGAAAGGCGGGGATGGTGGCGCATTCATTTTGATACTTTACACGTGTAATGATGTCCAATGACTTGTTTGCATTATTTATGCATTATTTTATTTATTTGTAAGACTTTTTTATGACAAAATTTGGTAATGGGAGAGTAAAATTATTTTTAAAACGTACACCGTTCAAACTAGGCTGCTTATGTTGAAGTGTTCGGGATGTGGTTTTTAATGATGAGACCTTTTTTGTAATCAGGCTCTCAAAAAGTATATAAAAATTTGGATATAGATTTATCGGCCAACATATCGGTTATCGGCTTTCAAAAATAAAGAATTATCGGTTATTGGTATCGGCCAAAATTTTCATATCGGTGCATCCCTACTTTTTAGCAACATCATATGACCCCTTTAACATTACGAAAATGCTGTCACTTTAAGAGAACGCACTGATCCAGTGCACTGATACTGTACGTTCAGCAGACTATGTCTGCTAGGATACTCACCGGGCATTTTGACAATTTTTGTGTGAATTTGTCCATTCAAACACAATACTTCACAGAGAGCTTCACGCGGGTTCACGCGCTTCGGATGAGCGACCACACAGATCTTCTCACTGCACGCGTTGAGTTCACGTCTTCTGGCTCTTTAATATTTAAACTGGCAAGGCTTAATAAGTTTAGTTTAAACACAGATAGCAACGTGTGCTGTTCAGGTCTCACCTGCGTTATCAACACGTGTTAACGGCATAAATGACAGCTATTCCAGCATAAAGCACTCGCATTGATTAAAGAGTGACTGGTTTGTCCCGTATTGTTTTTTTCTCTCTCTCTCTCTCTCATCGCTCTTGTTGTAACGTATTGGGAAGCCAGAATTTGTATCCATCAACAGAAACATGCATTAGCCGAACTCTAACAAATCATATTACAGATGCATTGTCAGATTTAAGTTGAACCGCGGTTCTAGTGTATGCCGAACCGTGTGTGGAGAATGGTATGGTTTGATTTTTTACCGAGAACCGTTGCACCCCTAATATATGTATGTATGTTTAGTTTTTCCCCCTGCTGTACCGAAACTGTACTGAACCGTGAAATCAAAACCGAGGTACGTACCGAACCGTCATGTTTCTGTACCGTTTCACCCCTAATTTTCAGTAAATCTTCATTTCTGGGTGAAAGATTCCTTTAAATATTCTACTAGGCTTAAATAACAGAATTTTAAAATGACTACCTGTACAACCCGAGAGAGGTGCTCGATTTGAGAACGTAAACAATGGAAAGTAACCAGGCCAGCATTACTTTCACAATCTGGATATTTCAAACGGATGATTTACATACATTTAGCAATATTGTGAAAATGCTGAACAAGCCAGAATATGCTACTGACGAGTAATTGCACTGTGTTAAAATGACTGGAAAAAAAAAAACCTAAGAATAAATTAAAATAAAAGCTAATTCAGAATATTTATAAACACTAAAATAGCATATCAATTATACTAAAATAACACTGGTCCCAAATATACATAAAATGGCAATCATTCAGTACCTTGGTAAGGTATATATCTCAAAGTACCATGGTATTGCTCTCTGATGCCATCATTGTACCACAGTATAGCCTTGTTTTTAAGGAATAAACACCCTCTCATACACAAACACCCACTCACTAACTGTGTAATTTAGCAACATACACTTCAGCTCCGTTTGTCTTTGTCAGAAATGGCAGTGGAGTGTAGCAGAGCTTTCTGAGCAGTGTGTGTGTGTGTGTGTGTGTGTGTCTCGGGGGGATGGACATACACTGCACCAGTAACTGTGCGCTGTGCAGCAGTCTGCATGTGTTAGCCTGAGGCGCTGTGGCCCACAGTCATCCACCCAGCCATTTGCTAACATTCACACCTCATTGTACAGTACCGCTGCTTCACCTGACAGGATATTGCTGCAAGATTATGTTATTGCAAATACAATACGTGACGTTTTATAAGAATGCATGCATAATTTGCATCATGCACGAACAGGCAAAAGACAGTATTCTCAAATTAGCATAACGCTAAATGCCACCAGGGCCTGGAGTTATTTCCATCATTTACATTTTACTTTTGAATATGAAAACCACAAATGTAGAAAGGTCAATGCTTATCTATCAGTTTGACTGACAAAACTGCAATGACATCATTAAGAGACAAGTTTTAGCCAATAAGAGTCAAGAAAACAGAGCTAGCTTAAAGATTCTTCTCTACGTCCCACTATTAAAATGTAACTGACTGATCCTGTCATCCGCCAGATTATCAACAAAACTGTACTCTTTTCTAATGAAAGTCAAATGGAAGTTCTGTATGTTTAAAATAGCTTTAAATTGCATTTTGAAGAAATTATAAAAGAAAATGGTAATGTATTTTTACATTTTGTAAATGTACATTTTATTGTTTATTTTTATAAAAGTACATTTTTGCATACACTATGTTATCAGTTGTAAACACTTTGAAATGAGGCTTTTCTCTTTTCTCTCCGTCATTCTGATTCAGTCTATTTTACTGTGTAATTTACCAATTTCTGTCAAGACAAACGTTCACACTTCACAACGAATAAAATAAAATAATGACACTTAGGATATTTGACACTTATTTTAGGATGGGCATGGGCAATGGAAAATAATGATTAGCACCCATTTTGCACAATATTTACTCAATTCATAAAAGAAAAACCCACAAAAAAGTAAATTACTAATTGTTTGATGATTCCATCTTTTTATTTTAAAACTGACACAAGGGGAATCTACAACAGACAATGCCAATAATCTCAAATAAATCATCTGACACTTAATAAATCGGCCTGTTGCTATGATTATATATTCTCAGATGTGTATGCTTACACACATATAGCTACCTGTGCGGTTATATCTTGTCTATGCAACCTGCTGACCCTGCTGCAATAACAATATCCTAGTATCCTACTGTGGTTTTTATGAAAGTAATGATATCAGCTTATAAAGAAAGGAAAGAATGCATTTAATGCGTACCGACAGTCATTTCATCCATGTTGATTAAAGGAACCACAGAGAAACCCTTACGCTTTATGTGAATGCATCCCAATTTCAGCAAGACACGGTTACAACAGGCAAAGACCATTCAATTTCATGAACCATCAAGCAGATATCCCCTTTTAAAAACGTACGGCACTCAATAGAACAAGAGATATAGATAGAAAAATAAGAGGTTTGGGTATGTCACTGATACTCCAAATAAGAAAAATCAGTAAATACAAGAACATAAACCAAATGCAACATCCCAAAGCTCAAGATGAGCGAGATGTTCTTTATAATAACGGTGTATTAGGAGTCCATTGAGTTATGAGTCCTGATACTGCGTCATTATTACCCAAGTCTCATCCATTACTGTAAAAAAAAAAGGGACAATGTTCTTCTTCAAACATTACCGGCCCCTGTACAGCAGTAAGGGAGCATGATTTATTACAGGAAAGGGAAACGTTTCACTCCACTGAACAGACTCCACACATAACCCTCACACAAGTGTGTGTGTGTGAATGTCTCCAATGCAGCGATGCCTCCTCTGTCTCACCTCTGCTTTGAGTAGAGCGAGGTCTACTCTTAATCTAAACGAGTGCCGTTATTATGTGGAGCTCTCAAGGACTGACCCGAAGCACTTAGCCAAAGTGTTGCGGCCCAGGGCACCTCCCAGTCATCTATCTGTCTGCATTTGTCTTTCTCCAGCGCTATTCGCCACTGCAGGCAATGAGATTACCTCTTAAATTGCCTTTCCTGTTATCGGCCCTGCCGAGATGTCTTTGAGAAGTGAAGGCACACGCAAGAATGAACACAACACACAATAGTCGACTTTTGCAACTGACCTCAGCTCAGTTTGTTTCACCTGCCAACCAGCAGCAAGCATAATAAAACGTTAAATGAGAAAAACAAGATGATGCAGTTCACTTCCCCTAAACATCAAGGTAGTCGGGTTTATAACATCCTTCGCCAGCAGACAGGACGAGTAAATCTGCGCCTGTTGTCGGCGAAACAGCTTGATCAGCAAAAAGATGGCACGATCAGCAGCCGCACGGCCAGTAACGAGCTCTCCGCTGGACGCCACCCCTAAATAGTCTGCAAAACAGCTAGTACTAGCAACTCAAATAATTCAAGAGAATGCTGTAGTATTTCAATGCAGATAAACCAATCAAAAAAATAAATAAAACTTGTCATAACTACATTAAAAAGTGCAAAAACAGATGCAATTGTGTTTTATGATCATGCATACTCAATCTACAGAGTCAGCAGTGATGTGTCAGACCGTTATCAAGAAATGCATATTGTGTACAAATTATGAGATTCTCAAGTTGTATTCTATGCACATCTATTATGTAATGTGATACTGCAGCACTAGGACGCTACGCACTCGCACTCTCCTGCACGCTGAGAAAGTTCCACTCGCTGACAAAGATCTTCCTCTCTCTCCTCTCTGCTGTACGCCACCTCTCCCTGATTTTTGCATTACAATGACTGAAAGACTACATTTACATTCCTGTCTAAGCATTTAAAATGTTAAACTGCACTGTATAAAAGGCATGCTTTATCATAAAAGGGGGATACTGTACTTACCTCTGTACCGTGTGTATGCTCACTGGAGATGTACTGCACCAAGAGGAGGGTGGTGATGCAGAGGGGGGTTGAGGAAAGAAACTTCACAGAGTGCGCAGGGCACTTGGAGAGCTTGGGGAAAAAATAAAAGTGACAACAATCAGGACTTTTGGTTTATCCTCTTCTGGTTGTGTTGGAAATATCAGACATGTGCAAACACACACACCCTTGATGTCTTCCTCTACGCACCCCCACGCTCACACACACATACACACACACTCACACACACAATAGCTCGGATCGGGACAGATGCAGAGATGCTCTCATGCACACACACACATTTCTAGTCTCACACCCTGCAATAGTTGCTCAGCACCACAGCCCCTGGTGTTTCTCTGCTGTATTTCCCGGCACTGAGCTGTCATTGGTTCAATCACGACTCAATACAAACTCCTCCCATTTCCAAATGGGTGAGGAGGGATTTGTTTTCATGGCACACTCTGAAACCCATCCCACCCCTACCGCTTTAAAAACCTACACTAAATGTAAGGAGAATGCTGAGCTATGAAAATCAGGCAGGATGGAGAGAGAGGAGGAAAGGAGGATAACGCGAGAGGGCGGGGCCACAGAGAGGCGCAGTAACCAATCAATGAGCTGCAGAGAGAAGCGCGAAAGATGCGGTGGACTTCAGGGGACGCGTTCTCCCTCCTGCGCTGATGAATCTTCAGCGTAATAACAAAAGACATTACATATTTAATGCGACTTGTGGATAGGAGATTGCTGTACTGAATGTAAACGAATAAAGAGAGCGTGTACCCCGAAATAATGACAATAAATCTTTGTCGACTGCGCTGTCCTCACGGGCTGAAACGGCAAGGCGGCCAGTGTGGACTGATTCAAAAAGCAAATGAATCTTCTGAGCCGATTCTTTAAAGTGAATTGAAAACGCAGCCAATAATGTCCGCATCCCGAAACAATGAGCCGGTTCTTTTAATTAAAGGATAGTTCAATAAGACGAGTTATCAGTTTGAATAAGCCTGAGAAATACTTTACTGAACTGATCTGACTTGGTTGATGAAGGGCAAGATTTGCCGTGTCGAAATGAAAAATGGTTTGTGTTAGTATTACTGAATGGCTGTTCATCACAAAATCGTTAAATTCAAATTCAAATATTACTAGTGAAGTGTAACAAAAACAAAATTCTGTAGGAATCCATCAAATGTCATCTTGTAAAAATCCAAATTATAGGTCTTGCGTTATTTCCCGAGGTTATTTTTATGTTCTGACATCAAAATAAAAAAAATAAAATACTTACAGCTCCAAAAAGCACCGTCTTCAGAGTCCGTCAGAATAACCGTTGACATTTAAAAGCCTGAGATTCCCGCTTGTGTCGACAAGCTGAGCTCAATGTTCACCAGCGTGTTCATTTTAGAGAATCGATTCGTTTTTAAGGAACAGATTCATTACTCAAACGCAAGTGTTCGTGTGAATCGCTGTGCGCGGAATAGGTCCGTTCGAAACAACTCTTCTCGAAGCTTCGAAACTTTTATGAATCTTTTGCTTCGAATCAGTGCTTCGGGCTTAAAGGGGTCATATGATGCGATTTCAAGTTTTCCTTTCTCTTTGGAGTGTTACAAGCTGATTGTGCATAGATAAGATCCCTGAAGTTGCAAGTGTGTGTGTGTGAGAGAGAGAGAGAGCATGAGAGAGCGAGAGAAAGAGAGAGAGAGAGAGAGATAGCGTGAGAGCGAGAGAGAGAGAGAGAGAGAGCGTGAGAGAGAGAGCGAGAGAGAGAGAGCGTGAGAGAGAGAGAGAGTGAGAGGAACAGTATTAAGAACCACTGCTTTTGAAACTTGCGAGAAGCGTTTAAGAGAGGCGGGGCATAGAGGACTTACAATCATTTTTAACATTAAAGCATGTCAACATATTCTGTTACACCAAATACACAAAATAATGATCTTTAAAAAAGCATCATATGACCCCTTTAATAGAATCTTTGTTACTGTTACGTTGCAGAAACGTTCTGAAAGGTTTTAACAGTAGAGTAGTTGATTTCAAGTGAACACTTGAAGCAGTCAGTTTATTAGGCTATTCATAAAAGTTGAGTAAAATTTTCTATTATGTTCTTTAAAAATACAAAAAGTGCTAAAAAGTAATAAAATACTACTAAAATAATAAAAAAATATATAATGTATTTACACAACTTTAACCAGGAGATTCAATTCAATTCAATTCAAGTTTATTTGTACAGCGCTTTTCACCATACAAATCATTGCAAAGCAACTTTACAGCAAACTAAGTTTCTACAATATTTAGTGGTAGCTTATCAGTGGTGACTGTCAGTTAACGTACATATGGCAGAAATGTACGGAAAAATCAAAGACGTAATCAAGCAGACGATGAACACTATTAACAGCAATTATTATATGATGCAATCAAACTTATAGCAAAATTTGGTAGATGGGAGATGTCTTCAGCATATAGCCTTTCTTCTCCCACCACAACTTTGATGTGCTCTTTAATAACATTTATTGTAAACTGTATTTTTTATTTAACCAGCAATCCAAGAAAGCCTATTTGGTATAATTTAACACTTAAAACTTCAGCAAGCAATAACATAAAATATAAATATACATGTCAATGACTTATGGAGCTTCACTGATCTGTTAAATATGTAAAATATGTATTTATAAGGTTATAATTCATAACCATTCACCAAATTACACTCTTGCATTGTTTTGGCATCAGATTATTGTATATTGAATGTTGTAGCCTATGCAGGGGCGTAGCCATCATTTCAGAAGTGAGGGGGACAGAAATGTTTTATATATATATATATATATAACATTTCTGTAATCTATAAAACCTACCAGTCAACAGTTTTTGAACAGTAAGATTTTTAATGTTTTATAAAGAATTCTCTTCTGCTCACCAAGCCTGAATTTATTTGATTCAAAGTACAGCAAAAGCAGTAATGTTGTGAAATATTCACTGCACGGAGTGTTTAGCGCTCCTCAATGTTCATCTCGCCTTATTCTGGGTCCGAATAAAACTTCAGATCATGCACAGACTATCCTGGCTCTTTGAATTTAAATCTATATTTATTCACACCGGCTCTTGAAAACCTCTATGCGAACACACTTGCCCGAAGAAGTGCGGGGTACAAATTTATGTGACATTAAAAGTGGGGGGGACACGTCCCCTGTGTCCCCCGCATCCCCCGCGTAATCTACGCTCCTGAGCCTATGTAATTTTCAATCAGAGCCTCAAAGATGGCAGCATCTATTTCCGGTGGAGCCTGCGCAAACCCGACCTGATGACACTGAAATGAATGACATATTTTAAAGCTCCTTGTCTGCAGTAAATATAATAACTCTTTGGCCCTGCTCTGACTCCAGCCTGCTGCGCTCCAGCAGCATGTAACTTAATGTGCTCTATGTAAATTATTAAAGACTGATGGGACGTTCTGTAGAACTCACTCTCCAGCAGAGCAATCCGTCCACACACTCCAGAACCTCATAATAAAAGCAGCTCACAGTCACCATATCTTACACTGTCAGGCCGACTCTCACGGTCACTGTCTAATGAACTGTACTGTGTTTCCTCCCTGGTACAAACTCATGTAAGGTGCTGGTTAGCCAAGCTGTATGATATTTAAATAGATCAGCTGAATGATTTCAGTCCCCCACCCCCTTTAGTCTATCTCCATTTGCAGCCTGGTGCCTCAATACTAATTAAATGGGTTTGATGGAGTCCAATCCGTCAACATCTAAAATCAATGAGATAAAGTCAGGCCTCTGGTCAGAGGGGTCGAGCCGCTATGCCTGGATTCTTTCTACATGATTGCGAATTCCTTCGGTTTGGAAAAACAAACTGTAAACCTGAAGTTACACAGTATGTGAAACTTTCTACAATTTCAGGGATTTCATTTAATGTCTTTTGAATGTGTTGTGCAATGCTGATATCAAACCGAACTAATGTATAATAGTCCTAAAGTTCATTCCATTTACTGCATTCTTTTTATTCCTTTACATATTTGTGTTTTTGTCAGGTATACAAAGAGTAAACATATGGTGCTTTAGTAAACTGGAAATATAATAACCTACATAGAGTCCTGTAGAGTGTTAGACGAGTTTTATGAATGTCAGACTGGTGTAGACTGGCTGTATGATTGGATTTATTATTATTGAGGCAGCAGTAGAGTCTTCCGGGCTGTGGCAGATGTCCAAGTCATCCTGTTTCTGTACCTGCAGAGCTCTCCTTTGGCAAAGTGGGATGCAGCTTTTGGCCAGCGCTACATACAGGTGCATCTCAATAAATTAGAATGTCGTGGAAAAGTTAATTTATTTCAGTAATTCATCTCAAATTGTGAAACTCGTGTATTAAATAAATGCAATGTACACAGACTGAAGTAGTTTAAGTCTTTGGTTCTTGGAGAAAACTCAGGCTGCATGACAGAGCAAGAATTCCTTTGATGCATTAAGAAAATTTACATGGTTTCCGGTTCTTAATTTAAGCATAAAAATATTGTGGAGTGCAGTTTTGTGTATTTAATTACGATGGTTTTACAAGTCTAACATCCTGTTATTCTATTCTTAACTGTAGCTAAGATGAAGTACTAAAATGACTAAACTAGAAATAATAAATAAATTAGAGCAGGATCAACATCAGATAACAATTGACAAAAGCACATTAACAAAATCTGTCAAATTTAAGCTAAAAAAAATCCCCTGAAAATATAAAAATAGTCAGGTGACTGCCTAGCAACCACCCAGAACACACCCTGTAAAAAATAAAAATATATTGTTTGCTGAAATAAAATAAAACAGAATTATTAGATAAAAAAACTCAAACACTTAAAAATTGTAAAATGTTTAAAAACTAACTGAAATAAAATGGCAACTAACAAAATAAGTTTAAGTTGAAGTACTAAAATTACTAAAACTAAAACTTAAAATGAAAAAAACGGAGCTAAATAGAATTATTACAAAAAATTACAAAAACTAATAAAAATGACAAAAACATTTACTGTTACAGCATATTAATAATATCAAAATAACAACCATTCAGAACACTTAGCAGCCACCTAGCACATCTTGACAGCCTAGCAACAAGCCAAACATCTTGGCAACTGCCTAGCAACCACCCAGAACACTTTATGCAACTTTTATTTTCCAGTTCTCAAGTTGGGTAAGACATTCTCTCATTATGAAACACCACTGGCTGGCTGTTTATGCAAAGCATATTCTAAAAATATATGGCAGTCTGTTGTCGGCAAGCCTCAATTAAATTTTATCGAGTTCTGTGCTCTCAAATTCAGTTGAGTGCTGTCTGTGCTTCTCTCTATCATCAAATCGTATTGCAGTAGACAGAACATCCATTGAACATCATTTGTTTGTCCAGCTGCGATGCCACAATAGTGCCGCCGCCGGAATGACAAGCACCATAAACCTGATACAATACAGCCGGCTCCATCATTCATCTCTGTGAGGAATGCTGCATATGTTATCAGATTACAGTACATCACAGATGGATTGCTTTGGAAACTAGATGTGTATTCTAGGATATGATGACTTTATTGATAAATAATTAAAAAGTCTAGTAATACATTTCAGTTTCATTAATTATATTGAAGGGCGGTGTAAGATGTTGTTTTGAACATCATGTCATGTTCACTCTGCAGCACAGATTATCAACCCAAACCCAGATTTGGAGAAATTTAGCATTGCCTCACTTGCTCACCAATGGATCCTCTGGAGTGAATGGGTGCCGTCAGAATGAGAGTCCAAACATCTCTCAAAAGTGGTCTCGTTTGACTCAGGAGAGAAATATGTACATATCAAGCAGCGTTTACGAGCCAAAACAGTTCTAAACAAATATGTTGGTGTAATTTGATGTGAGAGGACTACAAGGGATGGACTGGAGGAAGTGTTATTATGGATTATGGACTTGTATTTTAGCCAGAATTGATTACAAACACACAGCTTTTGTCTTCACAAGATGTTAACTGATGGACTGGAGTGGTGTGGATTACTTGTGGATTATTGTGATGTTTTTATCAGCTGTTTGGACTCTCATTCTGATGGCACCCATTCACTGCAGAGCATCCACTGGTGAGCAAGAGATGTAAAGCTAAATTACTCATAATTTGTTCTGATGAAGAAAAAAATCATTTACATCTTGGATGGCCTGAGAGTGAGTACATCTCTGGGCTTAAACTGGCATGTAGAAAAGAACCATCTCAATAGACTGTGCACTGTGACCTCCAACCCAGCAGACTCATATGGCACAGACAGCTGTGAAAATCCACAGATGAAGTCAGCTTCGGATTCAATCAAACTTCAGCGTACCTTAGGCTCAAAAGAAAGTTCTAAGTTCAGTCCGTACTGAAAAAGTCAAGTGGTCATGAGGGTTTAGAGGTAAAGCAAGCGCGGCGAGGGATTCTGGTGTTTTGAATATAGTACACTCTTTATGTTCTTCAAACTGTTATTTAGGGACTGGAGCATGTTAAAGGTTGTTTAACAAAATTAAATAAAAATGCAGCTTTGGGTAGGAAAATATAAATAAACTACTAGTTTGGAAAAAAAAATATTTTTTTCAGCAAGGATGCGTTAAACTGTTCAGAAGAGACAATATAGAGTTCTATAATGTTACAAAAGATTCTATTTCAAATAAATGTTGTTCTTTTAAAAGAATACAAAAATATGAAGCAGCACAACTGTTTTCAACATTGCTAATAATCAGAAATGTTTCTTGAGCAGCAAATCAGCATATTAGAATGATTTCTGAAGATCATGTGACACTGAAGACTGGAGTAATGATGCTGAAAATTCAGCTGCACATCACAGGAATAAATTACATTTTGATATATATTCAAATCGAAAACATCAATTTTAAATTGTTATGATATGTAACAATATTACAGCCTTGATGAGCATAAGAGATTTCTGGTAAGGTTGTGTACTAGCATGATACATGCCCAAAACCGATGTTTACTGCTCTCAGTCGAGTTTCCACTGGTTGGGAAGGTGTCTGTGTCATAGCAAGAAATAATTTCCATACTAATGAATATCACCCTATTCAGTGTTCCGAGGCTCCACTGCAGACAGTGCTCAGGGTCACTCGGCTTGCTGAATCATGAACGTTTCTGAAAATGTTACATTCGGTGCACTGACATTAAGACAAATGACAAAAGACATCATGTGGGTGAAAGGCTAATATTGAATTGAATTGAACAAACACTCCTGTTGGTCCGGATAGGACTTGATCCGAGTTACATCACTGGACTCAGTCAGGGACGAGTATGTGAGGCGATACACAGACAAGAATCAATACATGCAGGCAGCTACTGATGTAAATGTTCATATAATAAATATATGTGCTTTTTCATAATTGTGAGGCCAAGCATTAAATTATGAAAAAGGAAAAAAAATTATATTTTAATATATATTTTTATTTCATATGTACATGATTTTTTTTCTCATCAGCAAAAGACATCTTCACAGTCCTACAAAAGTGAAAGAAAGAATAAAATTTGTAATAACAAAATTACATACGGCATATCAGTTGAACTGCATGCACCAAGTTGCTTTGAATCAGGGATATCATCGTTAACTAAAACTTAACTAAAATAAATAAGATATAAAAAACAAAAAAAAGTCTTATTTTAGCTAAGTTGCCAAGGTAACATTTCTCATTTCTGTTTAAAACTGAAGTACTAAAATAACTACAACTAAATAAACAAAAATAAAATTAATAAATAATAAAGACATATTTTAAAAATTTACAAAAATGTAAACTAAACTGAAACTAAACCAATAAAATTAAATTAAACATATTAAAAACTATAATAGTATATCAATGATACTAAAGTTTCATTGAACTATATAAATTGTTATTGAACTATATTCCTTGGCAGAATATGTGTTTATTTGTCTTATTATTAATAATGCAATTACGTATTTACATACTTAACCATTATAAAATGGGAGGAAAAAATAAAATAATAATAATTATAAATAATAAAAATAAAAAGACACCAGTGTTCCACAAATGTGTAAATAAAAAAATTATTAGAATAAACTATTCTTCCGCCAACAAACAGTATATCAACTTGCTGCATTAATATATGATTCAACTGATACATTGTTGAAGCATATACGTTTTATAATAGTTTTGAAAGTGGCTTAATAGAACTGATGTTAGAACATTCTGGAATGAGTTCTCACCTTTTGAGAGGGATCCCACATTTTTCTATTCCTTATTTGGGACTAGAGTGCATGCAAAGAGGAAGAACAAGGAACAGGTGTCAGTCGGCCTGAAATAGTTCTAACACTCCAATCAACATAAACTCTATTTTGCTGTGTGTTTTCTGTGGAGAGATTTAGCAGTAGATGTCTGAGGACTCATCAGGGTCTAACGGTGCACAGTCAGGCAGATGTAATTTAGTCTCTCCGGTGGTACACGTATAGAGTCATAACGAGTTAAACTTATGGGGAATTGCCACTCGGACACTTCCAGCAGCAGGGGCCGCAATCTCCAAGTTTAGAGTCCCCCATGTAAGGTCAGGCTCTGGGGGTGTGTGTGTGTGTTGGGGGGGTGGGGTCTGGACAGGTGTCTTGTCAAGACCCAAATAGATAGAGAACCAAATCTCTTTTTGGCAATCCAAAGCTCCTTCTTCAAAGCAAAAACTCAAAACTGTTCTTTTGCGGTACATTATTTGTGACAATAAGGACAATAAGGAGTTGAACATTAACATGCTGAGAGATGTAAAAAGTGCAGAGAAAATATACTCAAGTTGAAGTATTATGTTAATTAATTACTTCTTTAATTTTCATTATATATATATATATATATATATATATATATATATATATATATATATATATATATATATATATGTATATAAATATATATATTTTTTTTTTGCCATATCAACAACAAAGTCTATATGTATGTAACAAAAATAAATAAAATAATAATAAAAAATACAACATACAATTAAACGCCTTACAGCTTTGCAAAACCAACTATATTAAATCTTTCATTTTAATATTTGAGAAAAAAAAACAGTAAGGGAATTGTTAAATATTTGGTATTGCCAAAAACAAACTTCAGTGAAAGAAAAAAGTTTCCACATTATATATAAGGCCTTAGCTGTAGGCCTACATATAAGAAGTAAAATAATTTTTTGCTTTGGAAATGAATAAGAGTTCAAAAGTCTCACCAATGTTGTATTTATTTGCTTAAAAATACAGTACTATTATAATTTAAAATAACTGTTTTCTATGTGAATATATTGTAAACTGTCATTTATTCCAGTGATGCAAAGCTGAATTTTCAGCATCATTTCTCCAGTCTTCAGTGTCACATGATCTTCAGAAATCATTCTAAGATGCTGATTTGCTGTTCAAGAAACATTTCTGATTATTATCAATGCTGAAAACAGTTGTGCTGCTTCATATTTTTGTGTAAACCCTGATGCATTTTATTTCAGGATCCTTAGATGAATAGAAAGTTCAAAAGAAAAGCATTTATTTGAAATAGAATTGTACATGTCTTTACTGTCACTTTTGATCAATTTTCTACATCCTTACTGAATGAAAGTATATATATATTTTTTTCCAAAAAATACTTCCTGGCCACAAACTTTTGAACCATAGTGTAATTCTTAAGTACAGCGATGAATTCAAATTACTCTGGAGCTTTACACTCCTGAACACATCTAAAAATTGAGACTGACCTGTATGAATGTGGGTGTTGAACTTATTTCTTATCAGCATCAGCAATCACAGGCTCTGTCGGGAACCAAAGCAAGAATGCATTTCAGTCTACTGGCTTTCAAGACATTATGTGTGGGAAAAATGTCTGTGAAGTTATCACCCAAACAAACATGCATGTTAACCATCCAGCGACACTTGAGCTTTTTCTCAGATATGTGCAAACTCTGTTCTGTCTGACATGTTCATCTTCTCTGCTTATTATCAATGCTGAAAACAGTTGTGCTGCTTCATATTTTTGTGTAAACCCTGATGCATTTTATTTCAGGATCCTTAGATGAATAGAAAGTTCAAAAGAAAAGCATTTATTTGAAATAGAATTGTACATGTCTTTACTGTCACTTTTGATCAATTTTCTACATCCTTACTGAATGAAAGTATATATATATTTTTTTCCAAAAAATACTTCCTGGCCACAAACTTTTGAACCATAGTGTAATTCTTAAGTACAGCGATGAATTCAAATTACTCTGGAGCTTTACACTCCTGAACACATCTAAAAATTGAGACTGACCTGTATGAATGTGGGTGTTGAACTTATTTCTTATCAGCATCAGCAATCACAGGCTCTGTCGGGAACCAAAGCAAGAATGCATTTCAGTCTACTGGCTTTCAAGACATTATGTGTGGGAAAAATGTCTGTGAAGTTATCACCCAAACAAACATGCATGTTAACCATCCAGCGACACTTGAGCTTTATCTCAGATATGTGCAAACTCTGTTCTGTTTGACATGTTCATCTTCTCTGCTTTCAAGAGACTGTAACTCATTTTACACTAACAATACATCTGTCTGATCCAGTACAGACATGTGGAGTGATAACTTGACAAACAGAAAAACAGGTCTCGGATTGTTCAAATTACTCTGGAGCTTTACACTTCTGAACACATCTAAAAATTGAGACTGACCTGTATGAATGTGGGTGTTGAACTTATTTCTTATCAGCATCAGCAATCACAGGCTCTGTCGGGAACCAAAGCAAGAATGCATTTCAGTCTACTGGCTTTCAAGACATTATGTGTGGGAAAAATGTCTGTGAAGTTATCACCCAAACAAACATGCATGTTAACCATCCAGCGACACTTGAGCTTTTTCTCAGATATGTGCAAACTCTGTTCTGTCTGACATGTTCATCTTCTCTGCTTACAAGAGACTGTAACTCATTTTACACTAACAATACATCTGTCTGATCCAGTACAGACATGTGGAGTGATAACTTGACAAACAGAAAAACAGGTCTCGGATTGGGTTAAGCATTTGTATTAACATAGCTTAGGATGGATTACACTGATATTAAACATCAATAAAGCGACGCTCCATTTGATAACTCGGCATGGGAATGATCCCAATCATACAAGCCTGTTTATTACACACTGAAGATCATCTGACTATCATTACAGTATCATCTGATAGACCTAGACATCTATTTTACGCATTTATCTTAAGCTACTTGCCTTTCAATGCTAAATATAAACTCCATGTGTCTGGAATCCATTTGTTTTTATTTATTCCATGAATCCACGATTCGATTTTCTAACATATAGAATTCTTTCCAGCACCAGCAAAATGTTCTTGATTTCATTCATAAATGCATCAGTCAAACATGTCTGCATGATGTTAAATCAATCTAAAAGTGGCCTTGACTAAATCTACACTTACAAAGAGCAGATTTAAATGTACATTCCCTGTTTTTTGCCCATAACCCAATAAAATATGCAATATTTAAATCCTTTAATTCATCTCTGCTAATGGATCATAATTCAATTCAGTCTTTTTAGACCAATGAAATGCCACAACTCTTCTAGTCATTCATAATTACTTATAGAAAACGATTTCACAGCCATTGCACTCCAAAAGAATAAGTCAAACCCATGAAATATCATGGAGTTGAGCACAATTAGATTAAGTGTTTAGTCTCTATAGAAATTTTCATGACTGTTCTAGGCTTTGAAATCAGTCTTAAAATTCCACTATAGTTTAACGAGTCTCATCATGATTGCAATTTATTTTTTGCATGTTCAAAAAGACCAAAAGCCTAAAAACACACTCAAGTCAATTCTACGATAATCACTTACGTTTAACCTCCAGTTTGCAGGTAACCAAGGCCTCTCCGTGCGCGTTCCTGGCCCTGCAGGTATAGACGCCACCGTCAAAGTTGCCGGGCTTGCGGATCTCTAGGGAGCAGATGCCCTGGTTGTTGATTTGCCTGAACTTGGGGTCGTCACCAATAATCATCTGATTCTTCATCCACTCGATCTTAGGCTGCAAAGAAGCCACAAAACACAATAAAAACATCGCCTCTGCAGTCTATAACTGGTGAAAAGATGGATGAAGAAACTGCAAAGAGCCATTTCACAAAAATAAACTTTTACCCACACCGACCAATGGCACACTTAAAAAAATAAAGGTTCCTTTTTGCCATATATGGTTCCATGACGAACCTTTAACATCCTTAGAACATTTTCATTGTTGGTTAGAATGGTTATTTGGTCATTTGGCCTAATGGTTAGAGAGTCGGACTCGTAACCCAAAGGTTGCGGGTTCGAGTCTCGTGCCAGCAGGGGAGTGAATGTACAGCGCTCTCTCTCACCTTCAATACCACGACTGAGGTGCCCTTGAGCAAGGCACCGAACCCCCAACTGCTCCCTGGGCGCTACAGCAAAAAAACTAATGGCTGCCCACTGCTCCGGGTGTGTGTTCACGGTGTGTGTTCACTGCTGTGTGTGTGCACTTAGGACGGGATAAATGCAGAGCACTAATTCCGAGTATGGGTTACCATACTTGGCCACATGTCACTTCACTTTCACTTTTGATTGTTAAAATATATAAGAAAAAAACTGTTGTTTTAAGAACTGTTCTCTGAAAGATTCTTTAGAGAACCAAAAATGGTGGTTTTATGGCATTGCTGCAGAAAAGAAAACCCCTTTTGGAACATTTTCACATTTTTAAGAGTGGAAGAGAATTGGGAACAATTTTGTTTTGGTGGCTTAATGTGAAAATATTTCATATATGTGATATCTGATAATAAAAACTAGGCATACCAGTTTTTTAAATTAAACTTCTAATGGTACACTTTCCATTGAGCTAAAAGATACACAACAATATAACATGCATTATGACACATTTCCTTATAAACCCACCAAAGCCATTTTGACTTGCATTTGGTGCTTGGTGAACATTAATTTTGGACACTTTCACTCATGTGTCTGTCTGATCCCAGTGTCATGGCCTCCTCATATCGATGTTTGGAAGCTCATCCTGTCATAGTGATGTAGGAATCCCACTTATCCAGCTCACGCTGTCCCCTGTCAAGTTATCGTTCCCCTCTAGAAGCTGCACTATCTCTGGTGGCGGATTCCTATTAAACTGTTGAACAGCTCTTGATGGATTAAGTGATGATTATAGGACAGACTTCATTACAAAATACCCATCAGCACCATCTTTACAATAATTTAACACATAAGTGAATTGCATGAGGCTGGTCTGCTCATAATGATCAAAGGATACAGCAGTCAGAGGTCATTTATACCTGGCGGGATTCCGGTGATCAGATCCAAAGTCAACCGCACTGAAAAGCTCCAGCGGCCGTTTTGCGACAAGATCACTCAAATAACATTGCTACATTGCATTTATAGTGTAAACACGAATTAATTTGTCAGGGACAACCGCAGACAAACCTATCAATACACCAGTGTACTAAAGCAAGGGTATTAAACTTTACCAGTTGCATGCAGCTTAAAAAATAACCATCTAATTGTAAAAATGTATACATGCACAAAATGGGACATCTGCAGCATGTTAAGCATGTGCATTGAAGATCAATTCATTTAGATCAAATAAAATAACCATTAGCGTTCTACTTTAATCACTTATTTAAGATTTCCGCCAACATTCGATGGACACTTTACTCTGAAAATCACCACTAATTGCTATAGCAACTACCCAGCTAACAAAAATACATTCTAAGAGCATTTTGCTAACGTTCTCATTAAGTTATGAAAACATTATTTCCGAATGTTCTCTGAATGTTCAAAATATCCATATTTTTTTATGTTTTTGTGAATGTTAGAGACAACATTAAGGGAATGTTTTATTTTATTATAGCAATGCTACTTTTGAATGTTCTTTGAACCATCTGTAGTAACATTAAAAAATGTTAGACAAACATCCAACTAGAATATTTCAGAAACACATTCCACAAACAATGTAGAAATAATGTTTATGTGCTAACATTTTGAGAATGTTATTAAAGACCAGATAACTCTGAATGAACGTTCTATTAACATTACTGGAAGAATGTTTTGTTCAGAACTTTGAGAATCTCCAGAACACTGGTCCTGCTTATGGGTGCATGAGAAACCGTGTACCTTAGGGAATCCCCTAACGGAGCAAAGCAGCTTGGCGTTATAGCCAACAGTAGTGCAGCGGTCTGCCAAGTTGGTGGTGAATTTGGGTGCCTGGCTGAAGTCGTGTTCCTTGTACTCTGGAGGCTTGTATTCAATGCCTAAAAACACATCATGAAGATCAGTGAAGTAAGAATAAGAATAACCATTGGATGACCGAAAAACCCTGTAAGACTCTCTCAGTAGGCAAATGCATTCCTGCAGCTCAAACAGCAGAGCATGACGCCAACAATGCGTAACTATTTGTAAATATTTGTAAACTGAATGCAAGCCACATGGGAAAAAAGCGTCCGCCAAATGCATACTCCTTCGCAATTTGAACATTAAAGCGTTTTTAACACATTTAAGCACAAGACGACGCAAATAACTCCATTCGTCTTATGCTTGAACAGACAAATACATGCAAAAGTATGTCAAAATACCCGTCTTGGCAAGTATCCTTGAAAACAGTCAGTTATGTCTTAAGCGACTTAAACAGTTGAGAAAGAAATTGGATGTGTATCAATATATTAGACCCATGAATTGTGTTTAAAGTGACCGTGCCAACATATAGCACGGTTGCGCTACGGGCATCCCGAGTTCGTGGATCTTTCCCGATCCCGCCCCCTCTCTCCCTCACAGTTTGCTT